CTTGGGTTTAGCGTCCAAAGTTGAAGCTGAGGGTAGCAGTCTTTGGGTTTTACGGCTTGCGTTTTTGGGGAGCTTTGGGCTTTTTGGTGCTTTACGCGGTCGGGTTTAGGGTTTAGGGTTTAGGGCTACTGCAGGGCTTGTGCTGACCGGAAGCCACGCCCCTCCAAACCCCCAGGCCCCTGTCTCCTCAAGCCAGGCTGGCACATCGCACGGAAGCTCGCGCCGCGCTCCACCACTCAACGACACCGCCTCTGCAACGGAGTCTCCAAGCCCCAAAGAGTTTTCTGAAACCTCAGATCTCTATAACATCTCTATAACATCTCTATAACATCTCTACAGCATCTCTACAACCCCTAACGCCTGAAAACCCTGACCCTTCCTAAGGGACGCAAACTCCCCAAACTTTCCTCAATGTCTACCAACCCTAAAAGACCTCGTGACCCCCTACCCCCATTTATAAGTCTACTTACAGCCTACTTATGGGACTCAGGGTGCTTATATGTGCAGTTGTAGTTTGGGTTATGAGTACCCTGAACGTCCAAACATGTAGGGATATCCAGGTGTCCACTAAAACCAGTGCAGGCTCCAACCCCCTGAACCCTGACACGTCGGACCAAGGCTACTGCCACAGTGCAACACCGCTCCAGTGCCTGCCTCAGCTTTGAAACTTTAAGTGGGCTTGGGGGTTTAAGGAGGATTAGAGTAGGTTTAGGGACTTCCTTGACTTTATTAGGGTCTTTGGTGGAATCCGCTTCAAAGATTCCTCGATGTCGCGTGTGGCTGTAAGTTGGTTCTTTCGGTCGTATAGAACGAGTGCTTACACAGCCCAGGGAGAAGCAAATGATGCCGTGGAGACGAGACGCTTGAATCCAAAGTCAATTTCTGGTTGAGATTCTGCCTTTCATCAGAGCAACTGCCCTTGAGTGCCCGCTGTGAGCGCTACAGTAGGAAGAAGCAAATAGGCAGCCCGGATTTGCACCCGGTTCCCGATTGGTCCAAGCGCCTGTCTGTCCATGTGAGGGAGCCCCTGCTGCACGGCACCATTAGGAAATCCGGGTGTCGCAAAGCCAAATCACAACCTTGCTAAACTCAGCTTTCTACCTGTAAGCATTGAAGTTTACGGGTCTAGGGTTTAAAGCCTTCATGCTGGCAGCGCGCAGCAAGTGCTCTTCTGCCAAAACAGAGAAGTCACAGTCCTCCAGCTGTACAGCCTGAGCTGGGACATCGGTTTTGGGGCTTCAGGGCTTCCCATGAACGCTAAGATCCTCAGCGATGATAAGCTTCTTTTGGGTCATGTGGTCAAAGGGCTCCGGGCAGCCTTCCACGGGTAGCGGTCTAGGGTCTGGGCTTAGGGATTAGGGCGGCCAAACCTTTAGACTTTGTGCAGCATCCTCAACCCTATGTATGTTCTCTGCCAACTCAGAGACTTGGAGAGTGAGCGTGCCAGGATGGAGTTTAGATGATATCCAGAATACAAAACACCCCCCCCCCCACCGCCTCCCCCTCCCCTCAACAATGCATAGTTTCTTCTCGAACCATCAAGCCCCAAGAAACTCAAACCACAACAGGTGCAACCAGTTCAGAGTTAGCTGTTGCCCATATCAATCCAAACGGACATCTGAGGCTTCCGCAGGACCTGACCACGTGCTCCACGATGCTTGCATCTGTCGGAGCGGTGGGGGTTTGTCAATTTGATAACTTCTAGATACTGATATAAAAAATGCATTCCCTCTTCTGTTGTCAGGATGCACCGTTCACGGGAGCCGGGGATCTGTTTGTTCACTACAAGTTGAAGGGGATCCTATGACAGGGGCTCACCTCGCTACCGATCGGAACCCAAACCCATCGCCCTCATTGGAGGCTTTTGTTTTCTGACGTGCTCCTGCCCAGGGCCCCCTAGACCCCAAACCCCAAACCCCAAACCCTAAACCCTAAACCCTTTGGCCCAGCACTTTGTAGGCATGGTGTTTAGGGCCTTCGGGATAAACACCCCCCCCTGCCCCTAGGACCTGAACCTGACTGTCAAGTAAAAAGGTACCGTGAACCCAAACCTGCAGGCTTCGTGAAAAAACAAATAAATCAAAACACAAATAAATAAACAAATAAATAAATAAGTATATATGTATAAACATTTGTAGTATGTTAGACATTATTGTATTATCTGTTTTTTACTCGTGTCAGCATTCTTAGAAAGAATGCTATTATGTGTATATATGTATGTGTCATACATATGTATATATATATATATGTATATATATATATATACATATGGTGCCTCGCTCGGAACCCTGGGTTGACCCCGGCACTCCCACACAAGCGGAGCCCCCATGCCCAGGAAGCCTCTGGCAAAGCTTCGCAGATGCACTTCACGGCGGAGTCGGGAAGCACCTCAAACCCTAAACCCTAAACCCTAAACCCTATCTCCAAGGGTAGTTACATGGTCCCTTTGTATGGGACCTTATAAGGGAGTTCCTTATATGCCCCTTAAACGCCCTATACAAATTAAGGGCCCTTACATCAAAACCCTCTAAAGGGAGGTCAGGGACCACATTAAGAGCCCATGAAACGACCCTTAGATTATCAAAAGCAGCCTCAACCCTACGGATGTTCCCCCTGATACTAACAGTCCTTGATGGGGATTCTAGTAGCTCCTATTTCAATGCCTGTTAAGGACTGCTAGTAGAAGGGAGAACATGCCAAACTACACCCCGAGCTACCTGAGGAAATCACTTCATCCAGGGTTTCGTAGGCAAGCTTCGCGAAGTGGTTGCAAAACCGGGTCACCGAAACTTTCCAAAACCCCGAAACCGTTGTCCAGCTTCTTTAAACGCAGGCCCAATCCCTGAACTGTAGATGCCCCCCTGCGCGGTAATTGAAGTGAAGCAATCACTTGTTTACTAAGCAGAACCGATGAAAGAAGCACCAGACATGCTTGCCCAATTTCGATGATACATCTCGCGTGCGCGGCGCAAGCGCGCTTGCTTTTGTTTTTCGTTCAACTATCGAAGCCCTAAGTAGCTCTGTAACGGATTCGGTCTGCGCCGGCTCTGAGATCTCCGGCGCATCGCCGCAGCACCAGGCGAGGTTTGGTACTTTGCTCCTGGAAGAGGGCCTGCCCGGGTTTACTGCTATTTGCTTAATAACCTCCTTCCCCCCCCCCCCCCCACCCCCACAACAAAAATTCCTTGGTAAGGGCAATATAGGGATGCCGATCTTGTGTTTTCGTGGGGTTCTTAAGCAAAAGTCGTAGCTTAGGCTTTGGGGTTTAAACTAAGGGAACACAATGGTTCAGGGCTTAAGAGCAATGGAGCAATGAGGAGTTTCTTGGCGCGGGCGTCAGCAGGATAACAAGGGCTCTCCAGGTCCAGGAGTAGCTTGCTTCCAGAGGCTACGCTACACCAAACCCCAAGCCCGCAGTCTGTATATATGTATATATGTATATATGTATATATGTATATATGTATATATGTATATATGTATATATGTATATATGTATATATGTATATATGTATATATGTATATATGTAATATACATATGCATATGTATATGTATATGTATATATATATATATATATTTATTTATATTTATTTATTCATATATACCCACACCGCCCCCCCCCCCCCCCCCCCCCCCCCCCCCCCCCCCCTTCCCCGCATCCCAAACCCTGGGCCCTGGTGAAAAGCCTGCAGTGTGGCTGTGGCGGTATCGACTTGAAGGGCCTCCCGTGGCAGTGCGCCAGCCGGACATAGCATGGTTTAGGGTTTAGGGTTTAGGGTTTAGGGTTTAGGGTTTAGGGTTTATTTGGCAAGTCTAGGGCTGGAATACCTAGGGTGTTGGGGGTATTTAGGGTTGTTTAAGGCTTAGGGCTTCGGAGGTTTGAGGGTTTGGGCCTCTTTTTGGCTTTCCATTGAGGATTCAGTGCATCTTACTCCACCTCCAGCTCAAGCAGCTTCAGCTGCTGAGGCAGGCTTTGCAGAAGCTCCTCCACGACTGGTGCTGGCCAGTGAGGTGGTGTGGGTTCCAGGTGGTTCGGGCTTTGGGTTGTGGGTTTTAGGGTTTCAGTTCTGAGAAGTCATGTTCAAGACCTCATCTAGTGCGAGACTTGCGATGTTCTTCTACAGCAAGACGTGGCGAAGCTCAAAGCCACGACGGCCGTAGCCCTGTAACACGAAGTCCCACAACCCTAGAATACACTGTAACATAGGGGTCGGAAGAATTACTAATAGTATGCCCTCGGGTCCCTTTATAATTTATAAATATGCTACAATAACCCCCCGAAACCCTGTTCAATTTATTCAGGCCCCTATTTTTACTCCCTATCGCTTCGAAATAAGCAAACCTCAACCCCACGGAGGTCCTTTAGCCAGCCGATGCCAGCCGCGCTCAGCCCGCTGCCGGCCGCGCCTTTCACAGTGGCTTTGCTGTTCAGCGAGACCGGGTTAGGATCTTCGAAGCCCTCAACCCAAACCCTAAACCCTAAACCCTAAACCCCAAACCCCAAACCCTAAACCCTAAACCCTTGAAAGCCTCACCCCCCCCCCCCCCAACCCCCCCAAAGCCATTAAACGTTTAGGTCTTCAGGTAGGGCCAGCCCTGGACGCTGGAAGGAACAGGGAAACATGGCAGCGTGCTGAGATCCATGGCCTTGGTGCTTTGCTATTTGGGGGGGTGAGGGTTTAGGGTTTAGGGTTTAGGGTTTAGGGTTTAGGGTTTAGGGTTTAGGGTTTAGGGTTTAGGGTTTAGGGTGTGTCTGCAGGTTTATCCTTGCACAACTTGCACCGGCAGTGCCTGCAGCTACATGCGAGTATGTATACTGTACATTGGGCTCATGTGCGGCTGGGGCCTGGTACTGTGCCCTCAGCAGCCTGTACTGACTGTACTGAGCGAGCATGTCGTGAGCACGTGCGAAGTGACAGTTGTAGCAAAAGCATCCTTGAAACGTCTTCGTGACTCCCAGAAAAAGCTTTACAACGGGAACATCGAAATTTGCAAACCAAGCTCAGAAGCAGCCAGAGCAGCCGGATGTGTACTGCCAGGAACCCATCGGAACCCATTGGCACCAGTTGGCACAGCCTCCTCCATACGGCCCGGCCGGTCCCCCTACCTGCCGCGGCTGTCCATCACAGCCAAGACATGAAGAGACATACTGCCAGGAAGGGCTCGGAACCCATTGACACCAGTTCACGCAGGAAGGGCCATAGTAGATGGCATTGCTGGAGCCACGGTAGCCGCGGCACTCAGGCACGTACTGTAGGCTTCCCCATGGAATCGTGCTGCACCAGTTCGGGTAGCTGAACAGAGACTTACCCCTGAGGTTGGTCGGTGCACTCTCTGGCTTGGGCTCTCCGATCGCTTCAGCTTGCGCATGGCCAGCTGGCTCTGTGACGTTGGCCTCCGATGCATCCGCAGGCGGGGCTTCGCTGACTGCGCAAAGGTAGCAGAGGTCAATGCTCTTCCATGATGGCCCCGGCACCCACAGGCACCAATCGGCACAACCCTGCGTAGTTGGAACTTGGCTGGTGGCCGTGCCGTTGCCCTGGCAGTCGCTGACAAACTCAAGTGCTCTCATGGGGATCCAGGCACACCAGTCAGAAGCAGGCACGTCCGGCGTGTCCGCCGCAGCCACTGGGGCGAGGACAAGGAGCAAGAGAGCGCGGAAAGACATGCCGAGGAGAGGACAACACAAATGCAGCTGTGAGTGATCGAGCCGCCTGCAGCTGGAGTCAATGAGGGCGTTGGGCTTCAGATGTCCTCAGTGCGAGCACCTTGTAAGATACCCTACATACCCCCTAGTAAGGTACCGGGTAGTGCCAAAGATTTGGGAACGTCGGGCAAGAATGCAGTGCATGTGCGATCCAAGTGCAACCATCACAAGCCCAAAGCTCTCAACCCTTAAACCCACAATCATGAGACCAATGAAACAACGGTCGAGCTCATGTTGCCTTGAGTATTCCCTGTCGGCTGTGGACCATTCAGTTCAGTTTTTCTACCCACGGGGAACACGTCCAGAGAATTAGTCGCTACGCATCTGGCTACCCTTGCAAGCAACACTGTGGGGCCCTGCAAGGCTAAGAAAGCAACGACGAAGTCTTCCTAGGATTTTACCCCCCCAAGCCAGCACAAACACCCCCACAGACTCTCTGCCGTGCCTGGACCACAATGGATGCGCAAGTCTTCTAAGCTGGGCAAGCTGGGCAACGTAAGTTCGGGCAGCCTGCGTGCAACTCTGGGCGGATGGGCTATGGATAGCTTCGGGCTTAGGTTGATACGAGTAGGGGCCAGGTTAAGCAAAGCGTGAAGTGTTGGTTTGTCCTACCGTGTTGTGAATACCTGAAGTTTCAGTCGTTGACAATAATCGTCCTGGTAGGGCTCTGAGGGAGTCACCGTAGAACGACAAACTTCAAAGAGGCCCCAGGCGTACATGAAACTCCTTATGAAATTTTGATGTTAAAACTCGTCCGGACACCTCGAGCCGGAAAGGCCCCTCGATCCCAAAACCAGATTCTGCACCGGTTTTGAGCCCAAGTAGCCACATTCATGCCCCTGGGGATATTCCCTACTTTCCCTTCGTGTGGGCCACTTTTTGGGTTCCTCTTTGCAGGACCATTGTACTACTTTGGGGTAATTAGGATTATTGGTTGGTTCTCTGTTTGGGACAATATCTACGTTTATGGCTTGAGGGGCCTGGAGGCAAAGCCGCGGGGCAAGTCAAGACGTTGCAGCGCACCAAACTTCTGGTTCCTTCGGTAGGGGCGGAGCTTCGGAGGGATCACAAGGCCCAAAGGGCCTTCCTGGGATTTCTTCGTTGTTGGTTTAAGGGTTGTTTGGTTGTTTCGGGGTCGACGGGCTCGAGGTCGGCAGAGTTTCCGATTCAGGGTTCAGGGTCTGAGGGGACAAGAAGAATGATGATCGCACCGCCACGACGACGACTACTACTGATACTTACTATTGTGATGCTAAGACTAAGACGAATACCACACGAGTGATATTGCACAAGCAGCAGTTGCACACGGCAAAGTCACAAAGAATGACGGAGGGTCTTAGCCTTAGTTGTCCAGTAGCTAGGGGAACTAAAGGTTAACCTTTGGGATGATAAGGAGATTAGATTACCCCAAGAAGGTTAATGGTTACCTACTCTACCACTAAGTAGTGCTTCGGAGATTCAGAACCTTGGGTTCGGGTGGTCAGGGTCACGTGACGTTCAGCGGCCGAGCCCCGAACTCAAAAAAAAAGGTCCAAACCCCGCAGCCCTGAGCCCCAAAGCCCCCATGGCATCCTTCAAAAGGCCATGGCGTCCCAAACTCTAAACCCTAAACCCTAAACCCTAAACCCTACACCCTACACCCTACACCCTAAACCCTAAACCCTAAACCCTAAACCCTAAACCCTAAACCCCAAGCCCTAAACCCTCTGGGGCTGTCGCTGCATCTGCAGCACCTCCCAGGTACCCTCCTGGGCCCAAAGTTCTTGGCGTTTGGGGAGAAGATCCCTCTTAATGGAAACCCTAAACTCAGGGAGGGAAAGTACTATAGGGGCCTGAAGAAATAAAATGCGCTCTTGGGGGATTCTCGTGCAATTATATAGGGACCATAAGGGGCATCAATCATTCCGACCCCTATATGATGCAACATCCCAAGGACCTAGGCATGATCTTAACCCTAAACTCCGTAAACCTTGTGACGCTTCTTTCTTTGTGTTCTCTTCTGCTTCTACTCAGCAGAGAGCCCCCCCCCCCCCCCCCCCCCCCCCCCCCCCCCCCCCCCCCCCCCCCCCCCCCCCCCCCCCCCCCCCCCCCCCCCGCCGCCCCCCGCAGGGCGACTTCTCTCTCGCTCTCGCTCTCGCTCCTCCTTGCTCTCTCTCCCCCTTGTTGACCTGTTCGCAAAAGTCTTCATTCTCTAGTCAATTGAGGTTTGAGGATACTGCGCTTGGCGACGACTTCTTCGTGACTCTTTTTTTGGCCAGAAATATGACCTAAACCCTAACCCTAAACCCTAAACCCAAAAACCTAAGATCCTGAAGGCCTACACTCACTTCAGGGAGCGGTGGCACTGGCAGCTTTCTGAAGACAACTTTCCGGACCAAAGGTGTTGTTTGACCTGGGGCCCCTAAAGCCCTCCAAAGGCTTAGGGTTTAGGGTTTAGGGTTTAGGGTCTTCTCGGCCCCCAGGCGGGTGGCAGGGAGAGGGCGCAGACGCTACCCAGATTCACCTTCGGACAGTTGCTGGGATTGAGGAACCTTCTTTTCGGCACAAGCCCAGTAGAGCTGCAGAGAAGCTTGAGTTCTGCGGGGTTTGGGTTTTCTTCGGGCTTTGGGCTTTAGGGTCAGGACTTGAAAGATTCTTAAGGTTATGGGCTTCAGGGGTTTGTGGGGTTTCCGGCTTTAGGGTTAAGAGACTTTGGGATGAGGCTGTGAGCCCCCACCCTGGCAGTCCAAGGTTGAGACGGTGACCAGACTTGCTACTCGTAGCTAATTCTTTGGACGACTGTTTAGAGCATAGTCGATCCCTGTTCACATAGTGAAAAGATGATTCTTTAACTAAGGGTGTTGAGTTCTCTGAATGTACTTGTGCCACGAAGGTATGGCATTTCGCCTCAAGACAAGATTCGGATGGCTACTTCAAAAGAAGCACCCGAGGCACCAGCACTCCCTGTAGGTTGCCCATCCAACGAGCAAGGCTCACAGCCTCTAAGAAATTCCATGCCAACCACGCAACGCACATCCTCAATGTTCTGGTTTAGGGTTCGTGCTACGCTCCAACCCAAACACTCCAGGGGCTCAAGGAGGGTTTGTTTAGAAGGGACCCTTAATCTTATTCCCTTATATAACCCATACATACCTCTATATCATCATATACCGAAGTAACCCTACATTACCCCTAAGCTAGTCCCTTGAACCCCAAAAACCACTCCCTAAACCCCACGCGCTCGAAGCCCCTTCCCTCCTTAACATTCCTAAGTTGCTAAGCCTCATGGTTCTAGGACTTTGAACAACATCTTTTACAGGACTCCCTGTACGCTACACCCCTCCCCCGCAAAACCCTAAAAACCCTAAACATCCTCAAGACCCTAAAGACCCCAAAGACCCTAAAAATCCTCTTGGCCTGGTTTAGGAAGGCCCGACACTGGGAGGGATCGGAGGGCAAGGCATCCAGGCGTGGGAGGGTGAGGCGGCCACCTGACTGGATTGGGTGGTAGCAAGCTGATCCTCCGCCCGAATCGGGCTCAGGGGCTTTAGTAAAGGCCTGGAGTGTTTGAAGAGTTTGAAGAGTTTGAAGGCTAGTAGTAAGACTTCCCCCTACAGCCCTGAACTCCTCAGCTCTCAAAATTCTATGGACAGTCTCTGAGCTTGGGTACCTTTTTGTTGTGGTCCTTCTTGCAATACGGGTCCTCATATTCAGGGTACCTGCGAAAAGGGCCATTGTTCACCAATAGCATTAGAAGGTTCCTGCTCCACTATTGAGGCCACACGGCCTGCAATCAACCCTCTCAAGCTAAACGCCTAATCCCAGGCCTAGACACAAAAGCTCCTAAATTTTTAAATGCCTGAAACCCTAAACTAAACCCCTTGAACCCCAACCCCTTTCGACTCGGGGTGCTGCGAAATCTACGTGCTAGGAAGATTCACGTAAGAAAGTTCTTGGGCAGCCCGAGAACATTGCACGCACGACGAGAGCCGAGTCTTTTGGCGCCATGTTCACGAAAGGCATGAAAGCTTCTGACAGCATGTGTTGTTCCAGAAACATCAAGACATCCTTGCGCAGTATGTGGTACAGAGCGTCAAAAAGGGCGGCAAGTTCGCCGAAGGCATGAACGCTCGTGACAGCATGTCTGGTTCCGCATGCTTGTGCAGTAGGACAGGGAGGCCAAGACTCTGTCGATATCAGTTTTTTGGGCATGTTCGCCAAAGGTATGAAGGGTCTTTGGGGCAGTGGTCGCCATATGAACGACCTGATTATCCCCCCCCCCTCGCCCTCCCCCTCCCCAAACAACTCGCAACCAGTCCTATAAGTCAGCGGGGAGGCAGCGCAAAACCGATGTCCAAAATGCCCTTGATAGCCCTGAAAGCCTTAAAGCAGGCCTGATTTTGCCCCTTTAAGTTTTGCTTGGCCTGAAGCGACCCCGGCGTTCCAAGATGTTCCGGAAACACGTGCCACCATGGGGTTGGTCCCCTGTTAGGTGCCCTGTGTACATCAGAGTCCCCCCACCCCCAACCAAAAACAACAACCGCCATGAAGATTTCGTCGTCAAAATGACAAAGGCCGCAGTTGAGCTTGTTCTGGAAACTGGTGACGCGCTTTCGTGGGCTTTCTTGAGCTGCAAGTCCTACAAGTAAACCACAAGTACCGAGCCGTTCGTCCCATGAAATGCAGTTGAAGCTTCGGGGTATGAGTATGAAATGATTTCATGTATGGCCCGCCTGCACAGGTTGCACTTCGCAACAGCGAGCTGGAACTGCCAAATTTCAGCACGTCCGTGGTGGTCATGGCATTGATGACCTGCCAGGAGATCCAAGCTGCACACCCTTTGGTATTGTGACTTAGTCACATCTCCACTTGGTGGCATTGCTCTTCGCGCTTGTGAACTTGTCTTGGGGGCGATAGTACTACCTACCGGTGCGAAACACCTGGCCAGGGCACTATAACCCTCAGGTTCAGGGTCTTGTGGGCTCACGGACGCCCTCAAAAAGCACGTCTCGCCACCTCGCCAGCCACCGCCTGGAGCAGAGCCTCGCAAGCACCAAGCATTATAGACCCTGCTGGGAACCCTAAGCCGCCCTAAGCTCATCCGAGGTTTAAGGACCCCTCTGAAAGCTCGACATCAAGCCCTCAAACCCTTAACCCCTTAGCCCCAAAAAACATCGCAAGAGGTTGAAGAACACGGCAGGGGACTTGTTGGGGCTTGGAGGACCCACTTAAGGAAACGATCTTGAGGAGTGACGCCCGACAGCCTAGAGAGCCAAATTGAAATAATGGTTGGGTTTAGTTTTGCTTTAGGGTTTAGGGCTTTCTTTTTTCCAGTGGTGCCAGGGACTACAGGAATTCGAGCGATGGCATTCACATTTTGCAAAACAAACAACACACACGATGCAACAACGGCAAACAAAAACCCATCGCCAGAAGTGCGCTGCAAAATGCAGTTTAACGGTCGGTGCATACGCCCCCCCCGCCCCCCCCAAACCCTCAGCAGGAAGGAACCCTGATGTTTAGGAACCCTAAACCCTAAACCCTAAACCCTAATCCCTAAACCCTAAACCCTAAACCCTCCGATGTTACTCTTGGGATGGAAGGTCCTTTCGGCCGGCAACCACTGCGGCGCGTGCCACCTGGCAAGGCTGGAAAGGTTGCTAGATGGTAGGTTCCCTAAACCCTAAACCCTAAACCCTAAACCCTAAACCCTAAACCGGGTTTGGGGTTTCCCAAGCTCTGGTGCACCTGCAGATATGTTCAGCGTCCGCCACACTTTGCTTATTTCGGGTCCAAGGGTCAGCTGCTGGCCGTACACCCCCATCTGAGTACAGGCCTTCAAAGTCTCCATGATGTTGTCCAAGCTCATTTTCAAAGGCTTCTCCTGCAAAGGGGATGATCACCAGGAACAGGAACGACATGGGGATGGATCTACACTATAGGTCATTCGCAAGTACTTCATGGCTCAAAGTTTTAGAACTTTACCGAAAAGGCACATGGCTTCTCAAAGGAATCCTCTATACTCCTTCCAATGTCGATCTCTATCAACATGTTCAACTGCAGGTGGCTGGGTGGGGTCGGGGCGTGGTAGAAGCTGAGAACTCCCATAAATCCTGGACCCCACATGGCGACAAAGGTTTGAGGCCATATCTTCAAGGCTAAGATTAGGGTGAAGGAGCCCAGCCCCAAACCCCTAAGCCCTAAACCCTGAACCCCGAACCCTGAACCCTGAACCCTCAGCCAGATCTCTGGCCCAACCTCGTCCGCCGGGGAAGCACCTAAGCAGCGCGCCACGAGCCCCTGAACATTTGCCTGAACACCCTTACCGTGCTTGTCCAGCTTCATAGGGATCCTAAACACTACGTAAGCCCTAAACCCCAGTATACTCTGGGATCATAGAGGAACCTTGCCATCTCCAAGGGCTTCAAGGATCTCTGCCGAGGTGTGAGCCAAGACTTGCAAAACAAAAGCCAATGGAGAAACGGTTGTTAGACCATATGCCATAACCGTAGGCCCTAACCCCCTAAACCCTGAACCCTAAACCCTGAAACCCTGAAACCCTGAAACCCTGAACCCTCCACCCAAAGACCTCGTGACATCTCGATACTTGGGCCGCTGCTGGAGGGCGCGGTGCGGTCCAGCAAAGTACCTGGTGTACGAAACCTGAAGCCTGAATCTTCTGCAACTCCCACCCCCCCTCCTTCGCCCCCGTTGAAGGTTCTCAATTGTTACGATATAAACGATCGAATATCGAAGTGGGGGGGTTTAGCGAATTGGCTCTGGGCTCAAGCTTTGCGAGGACTAGGGTTCCGGGCATTTAAGGCTTGGGGATCAAGTCGAGACAAAGCCCTAACAGTACGATCCTCGCAAACCCCATGCGGGAAACTTGAAACATCCCAAGGGCTAACGTGAGAAATTGGGGTATATAGTAGGGGGTTGTGTGGGTCCTCAATCTTGAGCGAGGATCTGGACTTTCTATGAGGTTCTTACTGCTATTCATCTGGGTGATGGTGGCCTAAGCTCTGTCACAGCCACTCAAGCCGGTCGAAGTATTGATGTAGTGCACTCACGCATGCCTAGTAAAGTCAGGGATACTGCCCGAGACAGGCCAGGGTGGTGGAATTGGATCATCCACGGCATGTTCCCCCTTTGATGGCATCAGAAAACGTGACCCGTCTGACGGAATATAACGGGGTTAACGCATTCTGAACGGCAGCAATTCTTTTGCTGGTTCCTGCTGTTTGCCCCCACTTCTGCTGCACAAAGAAGTAAGGCGGGAGACAGGTTCGCATGAGTGAGGCTTAAGATCAATGGGGTTTAGGGCTTCGGGGAGCACTGCTACGCGCTGCGCTGTCAACAGTTGTCAACAGTCGCGTGTAAACATGAACTCTCGCCCATCACCACTCTGCACAAGCCATGTCATGTGGCTGTAGCCAATACTGCTGTGAAAAGAATCGTCCCAACTCTGAACCTCGCGCCATGTTCGGCCTTCCATCAACCAAGCTTTCCATCGTCTCGGAAAGTCGACCGGAGTCACCGGCTCCACTTCGTACCTGGGATGGCCCTGAAACTTCGCGGAAAATGTTCCTGAATATGATCCTCCTAAACCCAATAAGGAAAATATAGCCCTTAAAACCCTCTGAAAGACATTCCTGAATACGATCCTCTTAAACCCAAGAAGGGGAAACAAACGTCCCTTAAAGGGCTTACCGAGCTACTTGGACATCTTTTCCAAGGAGTGCGACGCCCTCTCCTTGCTCCCAAAGCGGAAGAACCGGAAGACGAAGGGAGCCTCTTTACTGCCCATAGAACCTTAATTAAAAATGATGTTTTAGTATCCTCTTGGGTTTTATATAACCCTAAACCCTAAACCCTAAACCCTAAACCCTAAACCCTAAACCCTAAACCCTAAAAAACAATTCCCAAGGGGGATATAGGCCTTGCTCAGGCCGCTGTGCCGCCGACCGTTGAGGCTGCACCAGGCTTCTCCCGCACGCTCCACCTGACCTTAGCTGCTGAGTTCGTAAGCCCCCCCAAAAAAAGGTTTAGGGTTTAGGGTTTAGGGTGTACACTTTCAGTTCTATCGGGGATTCGAGTGTGTCCCAAAAAGTGTAGAGTGTGCTCACTCAGCTACTAAGTGGCCCAGTTCCAAGCGGCATTTCCGCCGCCAAGTTCTGGACACTCCAGCAGCCTGAGGAAGGCACTCGAAGCTCAGATACGAGATGAACAGCTGCAATAGGCCATCTCGCTCGAAGAACTGCTCGCTCAGCTCTTGAGGGCAAACGTCCGTCCACGCCCGATACTGGGCTGGCTTGGTGGTCGTCAGGTAACCAGCTGTCAGCCATTTTCCCAAGGAGCCGCCGAACGTGGCCATGATTTCACTGTGAGACTGCAAAACAGGCTTTGAAGCACTTGGCCCAGGCCAGCCAAAGTGAGCCCACAGATGCTGCTGATATACGTGCTGCACCCCTTCCTTCGTCCATGTGTAGTCCAGTTCGCAGTCTGGTTTTTCTCCTCCGCTGTCTTGTTGGGTGTCGGGTGATCGTCTCTTCGCGAAGCGGTGAAGGGCCATCGGCAACCGCTGCGAACACAGAAGGTCAAGTGTCAATATTCTTGATCCTAAACTCCTTGATTCTAGAAGCTTTCGAACAGGATGGACGATGAAGGGTTTGGAGTATGGGACAAGGACAACCGCATCGTCATTGCTCTCAGTTCAATTTGAGAGCCGCGGGTTGCTGCGCAAGAGGCCGTGACGGTTCGACTGAAGGGTGGTGGTAGAGGCAGGAAATTTCGAGTAGTAATACATATACATATATAAATGGTAATATATGCGGTGTGTGTATATATGTAAATTCACATGGTGTAGACCTGTATATGGTGTGTGTATATATGGTTAATATAGAGATGTATTCTATCCAACCTAATATTTAGAATGTATGGAACAACCCCCCCAAGTCCTTCGACCGACTGGTACCGAACTTCGGCCAAGATCTAATGGGTTGTGTTTTAGGGGACAAGCTTCTCCTGACCCATGTTGCCCTCAGACCTACGACTCTAGACCCTAACTCCAAGCCCTGGCTGAGAGCCCAGGCTATGCCCGGACTCGTCATTGGAGGCCGCCCTGCAGGGGACTTTTGGCCAACATGTGCAAGATCCCCGGAACCTGCAACCTGTGTTCAGGGTTCAGCGAAAAAAGGGTTCCCATCCATGAACACATTCTCATAAGAAGGAAGCAATGAGGTCGCCACATTTTTCCTTTGTGGTCGCTATTGAACTCATGGAAAGGGACCTGGGCAGCCCTGAGCCTTATGACCCCGGTTGAAGCTCTCACAGGCTTCGGGTTTGGGGTTTAGGATGGTTTAGGGTCGGTTATTGCGGCTACTGCGTGATATACCTCAGATGCAAGCAGGTCTCAAGTGACTTCAGTTCTGAGGACCTCCTCAGAGGGTTGATCAGAGGGATGGCTGTCCCAACCGTGCGTGGGGTTGATTTGGGGTCCAAGAGGTTTGGAGTGCCATGTTTGGTGTTCGGGGTCGTTGGGTTGGGGACTCAAGCGGCTTTGTGTTCTAGTTGAACCTTGTGTAACTCTAAAAACCAGCACCCCAACAGGATCCCACCTAACCCCCCCGCTCCCCCCCACCTCTGACGAAGATTCTTGAGCTGGGCCTGCGAAGGTCAGGTTTCTGAAGTTGATGCTTCGGGAATGGAGTTGAGAGGGATCAGGGCTGTGAAGTGTAGGGTGCTTAGGCTGGCGCTGCGACACAAGGGCCAGGATCATTCTGGTATGGCTGTTGGATTGAGGATGCTTTTCTAGTCTTGCTTCTGCTCCTAGTTCCAAAGGCCCCAAAGCATCAGAACCCTTAACCTATCGCCCGCTTGAGTGCCCAAGAACCCCAGCACTAGTTTGGTCTCCCAACCATGAGACACGACCCCAGGATGGGGGGTCAAACTTCAACCCCGAACCACGCATTCGGCTTTGGCCCTGTCCTTGATTCTGAATTGGTCCTTCCTATAAGGGAATCCAACTACTTGAGGGCCTGAATTAGGGCCCCTTAATGTGCGTAAAGCCCCAGGTCTATTCCCGATTGGCTGTCTGAGTCTTAAGCAAAGTGGCGAGCTGCAACTGCATGGCTTGTTCCATGATCCTCTCGAGCTGCAGCCACCTCGCAGGTGAGTTGCAGGAGCCTGATTACTAAACCGCAAACCCTAAACCCTATGTAGACTCTATGTAGACCTCCGCTCCCTAGCACAACAACATCGCGCCCGCGCCCTTGAGCCCCTTGATGTCCGAATCCCTACATGCTAAAGGCGCTCTAACTTCTCAAAAGCAGTCCGAAACCCTAAGCCCCAACACTTCCTATGATCACGATGGTGATTATGCGATGATTCGTTTGATTGTTGCCATGACTCTTGCTAAGATCGGTAAGCAAGTATGAGTATTACTAGGATTGTTAAGCCCTAAACCCTAAACCCTAAACTCAAGAACTCAAGAACTCAAGGCCGGCATGGCGCTCGCCGATGTCCTCCCCGCAACTTCGGCTGGGCTTCTCGTCTAAGGGGCTCCTGCCCGATTCTGGGTTTAGGGTTTAGGGTTTAGGGTTTAGGGAGAACTTCGGGGATGACTTAGGAAGGGTTCTTGTGCTTCGGCTTCAGGTTCAGGGGTCGGGGTGCTCTTGTGTCAGGGTTTAGGTGGGGCTGAGGCTTCAGGGATTTCATGTTCCAGGCTTTCGAGAACTCGACGGCTCCTACGGAGCTCAGGTGTGGGGAGGTGGGGGAGGGGGTGTGTCGGGGTGTGCGGGGCTTGCAGATCCTCTCCTGAACAACGACGCCAAGTGATACAAACCCAGTGCCGTTTCAACTCATAAGGCTCTTCAGGAAGGCAGGGAACCTTAGGGGTGAAACTTAGGGAGCTTTGAGGGGCATGAGGGCAAATTGTAATGACGATTCCTTGCCCCTCTTGGACCCCTCCTCCCTTCAGTTCCCGAAAATCAACATCCAACGCCCCAAGCATTGGCCTGGAGCCTCAAGCCTTAAACAAATAAACCCTAAACCCTAAACCCTAAACCCTAAACCCTAAACCCTAAACCCTTCAACCAGTCAGCCTTTACGCTAAGGAGCCTCTTGCATCGCCCGGCCATGGCGTCGAGAGCCCCCGCAAGAGCCGGATGCCTTCGTATAGGATGCCCTTTAATTGTTTGTTTTAGGGTTTAGGGTTTAGGGTTTAGGGTTTAGGGTTTAGGGTCCCATTTAGTTGTTTGTTAATTGTCTAGGCATATTGCATTGGGGATATTCTTGGCAATTGCTTGGGCTCCTGTGTCAAACCCTAAAGCCAGAAGGGGGGGGGGCTTTAGCTTGACTATTTTGGTGCGGTTCTCTGCCGCAATTAAGTTATATATCTCCGCAGACCCAATGGGGGGACCCGAACTTAGACGACGATTTGGGAACAGCACAGCTCTGATCCCCTTTGCCTTCATGCCGCAATTCATGCCTGTCTTCAGGCCTGTAACAGCCAAAGGCCCCATCCAAAATAGTCTTAATTAGGAGCGAAGAACCCCCAACCGTACTTCATGCAGCTTGTCTTCGTATCAGGGCTTCTTGGATCAAGCCTTAAAAACACGTAGGTTTAGGGATGGTGAAAGCTTGTCTTTGATGGGACCACCCGAAACCCTAAACCCTAAATCGTAAACCGTAAACCCTAAACCCACCTAACCCGCCTAAGCTGGGCGAAGCCCTCTTTCCTGCTGGCGCGGTGCCCCGCATCGGCAATCTGCTGGCAGTTCAGGCGGCCGGCATTAACTGCCTCTGCTGTCGCACAAGTGGCTTGAACACACATTGGGATCGCTTGTAAAACGCCCCTATCATGGTTACACACTGGGCGTTTGGGAAGGCGGCCATAATTTGCGCTACCTCCGCCTCGCTGGTTCGATGGTTCAGGTAGTCCCGATGCCGAAGACCCGCCCCCGACACTCCCGAGTCTATGAAGCCATAGCTCAAGCCAACAAATCCGCGTCTTTAGGGCCCTAAACCCTGAACCCTAAACCCTAATTTACTAAACCCAAAACCCTATACCCTAAATTGGTGTTCCACTCTACCAGGGAACAGCTGCCGCTCCAGCCAGTTGCTCCTGGTTCCTGGGAATGGGACAAGTGCTCTACGACCATGGGGGTAATTCTCTAAGGTAGGGATCCGGGTTAGAGTTTATAGGGTTTATAGGGTTTAAAGGTTTAGGGCTGAGGGATTAGGGATCCTGGAGGATAAGGTCTGCCGTGAACCGTTCAGTCGATGATTTAGGGAACGAGAAAGTTCGTGAACCCTGAGCTCTCGCGGTCCACCAAACATATGGCGGTTTCCGGGTCCTTATTATCAGGGAATCCTACGATTTTGGGGTCGATTTTAGGGGTCCCCTACATTTCGTAAAAACTCCCACATTGAAAAAGAGGGTTGCGCCGAATCAGGCCGTTCAACGAACCCCACTCCTCATCACTGGGCATCCGAAGCACCTTTCGTGTATGGCACGAAGCCCCTAGTGCTGACTGGGGTTCTTGGGCTATAGGATTTAAGATCCAGAGGGTTGGGGCGAAACCAACCCTAAACCCTAAACCCTAAACCCTAAATGCTAAATCTGCTGGACGGGAACCTGAAATTCACAGCCCTAAAACCCTAAGTTCAGGGCCGCACCCTGCCTGAGAGGGCTCTTCAGACCTAGCAGAACATTCCCTAAACCCTAAACCCTAAACCCTAAACCCTAAACCCTAAACCCCACAGCCGAAGGTCTCCAACGACATGTCTTCCACCAGCACCCTTCCAGCTGAGGCGAGCATGGCCTGCTGCTCCCTCGGCTCGAGGGCTTCTTAGGGCTCTTAGGGTTCCCTTAGGGTTCTTATAGGGTTTCCTAGAATTCTTAGAGTTTCCTTAGGGTTCCAAGGGGTTCCGAGAATTCTTAGGGGCTCCCTTAGGGTTCTTAGGGTTTCGTAGGGTTCCTTTAGGGTTCTTAGGGTTCCTAGAATTCTTAGGGTTTCCTAGGGTTCTTAGGGTTTCGTACATTTCCCAGGATTCTTAGGGTTTCCTAGGGTTCTTAGGGTTTCGTACATTTCCCAGGATTCTTAGGGTTCCTAGAGTTCTTAGGGTTTCGTAGGATTCTTAAAGTTTCCTAAAGTTCTTAGGAGCTCCTCGGGTTCTTAGGGTTTCCTGCGCTTCTTGGGGTTTCCTTAGGGTTCTTAGGGTTTCCTATCCTAGAGTTCTTAGGGTTTCCTAGAGTTCTTACGGTGTTGTTGTGTTTTGCGACGGGCTTGGGGTTTATGGTTTGGTCAACACCCGAAAACGCTGAACCCCAAAGCTAAACACGCCTTAGTCGCCCCAATCCTGCAGTGAGAACATAAGGTCTGGGGCTTAGCCCCAAACCCCAAACCCCAAACCCGAAACCCTAAACCCTTAGGGTTTGGGGACCCCGAAACCCCACGACATGCTAAAGGGCGAGGGGCGCGCGGAGCCTCGCATATTTCTGGCCAACGGCTGGGCGGTAGGCCATGGCTGGACGCGGAGCTTCTGGGGGGTTTGTTTAGGGTTTAGGGT